CGACGCGAACAGTTAACCTCGCTCCTTTCGGAGGCCAGCGGCCAGCGACCAGTGACGAGCGCGACAAACCAATCGCTGCTCGCACCACGACACACCCTTTCAATGCTCGTCTCGTTTATTTTTGAGACAATCCTAGCGAGGTAGTGGCTAATAAAAAATACGTTTTACGTTTATCTCATTGTCGACATCGGCCAATAAGATTTTGATGTTCGTCGGCCTATAACCAATTTAAATTGCGACAGTATGGTAAGACATTCAGCCTTTATGTTTCGTCCATCGTTTACCGTCACGTCTGACGCGTGCACCTGTAAATAAATAATCCCAGGAATTGTCCACACACACTGAGAAAGTAGTTTCGTCCTCCCTGTCGTCGAAGACGTCCTCCACTCGCGCTCAGAATCGTACTTTTTGAAAGAAAAATAGAAGACGATTAACAGCGTTGTAAATAATCTGAATCGTATATTCTCCTATAACTGTATGTATTCCTATTTTTTTTATTACATGTATATGTTTTAGACAGAGCAGCAAATGGACTGTGCGTTAGACCTGATGCGGAGATTACCTCCGCAACAAATTGAAAAAAACCTCAGCGACCTGATCGACTTGGTTCCTTCGCTATGCGAGGATCTACTGTCCTCTGTAGACCAACCGTTAAAGATTGCCAAGGATAAGGAGTCTGGCAAGGACTATCTATTGTGTGACTACAATAGAGACGGAGATTCATACAGGTTTGTATCGTCAAAGTGGACACTTATGGGTCAATTCTAAGCAGAATCTTAAAGCTCGTAACTTCTTCTCGTACGACTTGTAAAAACTTAAACCGGAATGTTTATATTATGCAATATTTTTACAGACAACTTCTTACAAGCTATAAGATTTAAAAGAAATCATAAATGTTTATAAATGATTATATGTGTTACAGTACGCATAGAATTATAATTTTAGCTCTTACAAGTCTTATGAGAACAAATTATGAGTCTTATGATTTTGCTTAGAATGACATTTCATCTTTTCAAGTTTGTCGATTAGTTGTAAGACAGGATTTCTCTATCCTGCAGTCAATCAACAGGTTTGAAAAACTTTGTATGACGCATGAAATATTAGGCTTAGAATTGATTAGATGGTTTGATGGTAAAAGAAAAGAAGATAATTTGTTATTATATAAACATGATATGTTTTACAGATCTCCTTGGAGCAATACCTACGATCCACCGCTAGAGGATGGCTCAATGCCTTCTGAGCGATTGAGGAAACTGGAAATAGATGCCAACCATGCCTTTGATCAGTATCGAGAGCTCTATTTCGAAGGTGGGGTCTCGTCGGTGTACTTGTGGGACTTGGATCATGGATTTGCAGCGGTAATTCTCATCAAAAAGGCTGGCGATGGTTCTAAAAAGATCAAAGGATGTTGGGACTCGATACATGTAGTAGAGGTACAAGAGAAATCGACTGGTCGTACTGCGCACTATAAACTCACATCAACAGCCATGCTATGGCTGCAGACTAACAAGCATGGCTCTGGTACAATGAATTTGGGTGGCAGTTTAACGCGTCAAGTAAGTACAGCGCTTATATATCGAACTTTGAGCTCCATTTATGGCTGCAGACTAACAAGCATGGCTCTGGTACAATGAATTTGGGTGGCAGTTTAACGCGTCAGGTAAGTACAGCGCTTATATATCGAACTTTGAGCTCCATCTTTGTTGGCTCATTTAAAATTCTGCTTGTATCTCAATAGATAATTTACAAAAAAATTATGTTTTGCTTACAATTGTAGGTAGAACAAGACGCTCAGATCAGCGAAACATCTCCTCATATCGCAAACATTGGTAGAATGGTGGAAGACATGGAGAATAAAATTCGTAATACGTTAAATGAGATCTACTTCGGCAAAACGAAGGATATTGTGAATGGGCTGCGGTCGGTGCAATCTTTGGCTGATCAAAGACAGCAGGCCGCGCTCAGGCAAGATCTCGCAGCAGCACTGCAGAGGCGAAATGCCAACAATTGATCTTGCGAAGAGCCGGAAAGTTTTGATTACGATTACGAATAGATTTTATGGTATTTTTGGATCCTTTCATCTTGCTTGGGATCTTTCGATTTTCATAGGCGTCTTTATATTTTTAGAATCCGTGAAACTTCGGATTTTTAAAAAGTTCTGAAATTTTTTGCGGCGTTCTTCGAGTTCTTTATCCGATAAGTCTTAAAATCTTGTTGGACTCTTGGGAATTTTAAATGCTACGACTTGGGCCTTTTCCAGGTCAAACCGTATCTATAGAACTCGTAAAATTCTTCGAATCATTGTCTACATTATCGAAAATGATACCTATTACTGTACTTTGTTGCCCTAAAGAGATATGAATCAATCATGAACGCGTTGATTAAACCTAAACAGTATGAAATACTTTGTTTAATTTAGAATGAAATAGAGTTTATTGTAAATATGCGGGAAAGGTGCAACGCGTTTTAGAACGGTAAATTAGATAAAGAACAATGTAAAATGCAAAAGAGAGTGAATTATAATATAGTTAACGCTTACTATGTAAAAGCTCGAAAAAAAAATACATTTAGCAATTCTCTCTTTTGATTTGTATTAAGTTTGACAGATGATTGCAAAACGATAATAAATTCATAACATTTTTGTAATGTTTGGAAAGTATTGATATTCCGCTTATACTGTTTAGGGTTAAATTTAAAAGCGCGTAACTTAGCGCTGAAAATAATATAAAACGGTTTGCATAACGTTGAAAAAGAAGTATATCATATTGCATTGTAAAGATTTGTCCTTGCAAATGGAAACTTTTTGAAAATTGTGCATATAGAAATTGTAAATTTTCATTTATATCAAAATTATTTAGATTCGAGGAAGTGGCAAAACTCAAAATTTGTGTAATATTTGGACGTTGAAGGATAATCCTACCTACGTTATATTTAATATTAAATCTGAGACATAGAGCTAATCCTCTCTGAAGGACAGTATAAAACGATTTATTTACGTAAAAGTTCAAAAGGAGCGGTTGCATTTTGCATTTGTTAATAATGAATCCATATATAATGCGCAAATAAAAGTTTTCAAATTAAACTTTATTTGTTTGTATTAAATTTTACGAGTACAAAAATCTGCTGGTACCATAGATCCTCGAAATCTGCAGATCCTCAATATCGTGGATTTTTATTATCGGAGCTTTTCTTAAACATATTCCGTATACATATTCCGGTGTGTTCTAGTATGCACGGATCTTTGATACTACAGATCCTTGGACTGACAAGTTATCAAGATCTCAAAGATCACCAGTACCATGAATCTTGCGTCTTAAAAAAAAAAAAAAAAAAGCGAATAATTTTTATGCCCTCTCTTATCCTCGTCCTCTGAACTCCTGATTCTTGGTACGTGAGGTGACGTGGATATCGAAGACTCTTGGTACTATAAATCCTTGAACCCTTGTAAACGGCTGCGCAATCATACATATTGAGAACCTCGCATATTCTATATATGATCCATGAGCGCATTAGATTATTTCTTGTAATGGAGACGCAAAAAAAAAAATACCGCGTAGAATTCGTAAGTACATAAATGAAAAGAAAAGCATTTTTTTATGTTAGTGCCTTCTTTTTTACACTTGATTTACACCACCGATATTATTACCCATAACTTAATTCTTCTGTAATTAGACTATCATAAGAATTAACTTAATAACGTAATTTAACATTTTTTTTTGTTGCAAATACCGAATGATGGCAGTGTGCGGGCGAGTCAGTCTAAGAAAGGACTAAAAAAGACATCACCGTATTGCTCCTGTGAATATTTTCTTCCAGTATTTCTATACTATTATTTTTTTCATATGTATATTGATACCTTCTCTCTCTCTCTTTCGGTTATAATTAACAATCGAAAGAATTATGAGCCTGGTCCAATATAGCACACATAGATTATAGTATTAATTAATTAGACGTTATTTTGTTTATTTCGATTATAATAGATAAGTTTTTCGATTTTAATATCGTCGCACAAATCAAAGTCATCAAGGAAGGCGCGTTGTTTCGCGGTTACCCTTTTAACATTTTTGAACAAAAAGATTTAAAAAATAAACTCTTATAAGATATATAGCTCTTAGGAGGGATATAAGGATAATAATTGTTAGATATATCGGAATTTATATATGCATATATTTAGCGATTTGGGGTCTTCGTATTTATTTGTTATGTAAAGGAACTTCGTTAAGTGTTGAAGGACATTTAATCGCTAGGAGCATATTTAAAACGACGATCCTAACGAGGTTTGGTGATGCAAAGTTCTCGCAGCAAGTCAGAAGCAATCTGAATGTTTTAACGTAGAAAAAATAAAAACTTAAGAAGATCTAGAACGCTGTGTTATATTGGAGATAATTCTTTTACAGAAAAATAGGATGCGAATTATCGCGAGGACACCAAATCGAGCAAATTCAAAGTCACAGAGTTCCATAAGGGAGAAAAAACGTATACCTTCCAATGATAACTGTGATTACACTCTTGTAGTTAATTATCTGCTTATAATTATTCCTAATCATTCAGACTGCACTTTCGGAACAATTTTTTTCTTTTATACAAACGATGTCACGAGATGGAAAGGATGTAAGGAAAGAAAATTCTCTTCACGCACACTTTGCAAGTTCACACAAGGATCTTCCATTCGCGGCCCTCCTCCCACTTTATCTAATTATAATCTCTGTTCTAACGTTACATGGTCTAATTAAAAATTATCTTATTGATTAAAGGCGGTTTGTGTAACCTGTTCTGAAAAATGTTTATTATTAAAACGAGATATTACAACAAAATGTAATAAAGTCTGAGCATAAGCCAATTACAGTCTCTGTACGTGACGCGATATTGTATCGCGCCGCACCAGCCATCTCAAAGCGCGCGAAATATTATTTTGTGTGATTCTTAAGATCTCGATGTTCCTGGATTTAAAGGTCTAAATCGTATCCCGACACTCTTTCATATCATTTTAAGCGTTTTTAAAATCGTAACATATTTTCTCATACAAACTATTTCTATTTTAAAGTCTCTGCATTTTGCGATTTTTAATAAAATACGATAAATATCGAAATGCTTGCACTATCTAAATATTTTAAGATATTTAAATTCAGATTCCAAATTCATGAATGTAATCTCATTCTCGGAATCTATCAATTTTTTCAAATGTGTGAATATTAAGCACTTCATATCTTATCGATTTTCCGAATTTCTAAGATTTTCTAGAAATTCGAATGCTAGACTTTTTTATTGTAAAATTCTCAAATTTTTAAGACTTGAAATATTTTGTATGTTTTAGTTTAAAACCCGCAAATTTTTTTAATTCTCTAAAGGTAGAACTTTGAAGTTCTTAACCCTTTTAGATATTCAGACCGTATAAACTTCGATTTTTATAAGTATAATTAGACCTAAAAATCTCGAGAACTCGAGTTCTTTCCATAAAAAAGAAAGAAACCTTTAGCATTCTGTAGAAATTCCATATAGCGAAACTCCAGTCTTATCGATCATTACAGGAAAGATGCTTGAAGTGAGCTGCTTCGTGTCGGGCATCGCTAGCATCCCATGAAAAATTGTTCCGCGCGCGCGCTCAAGGACTCCAAGGTCCTTTTCCTACGACCTCTTCATATTGGTCTCCAACAATTTTCTCTCTCGCATTCTCTCATGTACTCTTTCTCTCTCTCTCACTCACACACATAAGTGTAATAAGTTACAAAGCTGTTGTAAATAATTTCTTTCTCTCTATTCTTTAAAAAAAAAAAGGTCCAGGATGTGTCTCAAGGCTTTCTCAGTTTTTATTTCCCAATCAACTATCTGCTGAAGTGTCGCCACTTTCTTATATAACAAACAACGCGTGTGTAATTACTAGGTACACGTGTAAGTGTATTTGTATGTATCTGTATGTGTATATGTGTATGTATATATGTATAAGTGTATATAACTGTACGTATACCTAGTTTTTGTTGTCCCGGATTTATTTAAATATTGTTGGATAAAATAATTAAGTAAAGCGGATATATTATTTCGGTAAAAGTCGTTTCTCGCGCGTTGCTGTTGTTATATGGAACTGCTAGCCCGTTTTGCTTTCTCCCCCTTCTCACTCTCTCTCTCTCTCTCTCACTCTCTCATTTTCTATTTTCTTTCTCTCTCTCAGACATTCTTTCTCTTTCTCTCTTTTTTTCTTTCGCTCTCCCACTCTCTTCATCATCTTCCTCTAGATTTTTTGGTTATATTATTGTTGTTTTTATCCTGTTTGACCAATAGTAAAGGTGTTGATTGATTGGCTAAGCGGGTGGTTTTTGCTCGAATGTGTTGGGCTTCTCTGTCGTCGTAATCGGGCTGAACACAATTATTTGTCGAGGGAGGTGTTATTTTTGACGGCGATTACTACCTCCTCACCGCATGCCTTGAGTACAGTGCACTGAAAAAATATAACACAGATTTATATATAGTACACATTATTTTAGCATGAAATTTTTGAAAAGATAATTTTTCTTTAAAACTTAATATTGTCAACAATTGTAAAGGAACATTATATAAAAATAGATATTAATTTTTTAAATATGATAAATTTTGTATATGGTAGTATGAAAGATAAAAAAAAAATTAAAATTAGAAAAATATTTTGAAATTGAACAATGCTAGAGTGTTCAGATAGTATAGAACATTCCAGCAAATTGAATAATGTTTTACGTAAAATACTTTATTTTAGTAAAAAACATAAGATTTTTTGACTTATTTATATAATTTTACAATTTTTCTCTTGTGTATAACACGTAAATATTGTATCATTATTAATTTATACAATATATAGTTGAGAAATAGGAACTAGTACTTTTGTTATTTGTTACTGATAATTTTTAATAAATGGTTTTAGAAATTGTTTTTGCGCTGGAATGTTTCATGCTACTTTGATGGGGGGGGGGGGGGGGG